TATATATATGTTATAGATAATTTAGTGTGAGGGAAAAGCTGTCACACAGTAATCTAAAAACCATTATAATTTGGTAAACATCCTGATCCAAAAGGTATTTGAACACAATTAGCTTTTGGGTTAAAGAATGACCAGGAATCAGGGGCTGGAGAGATGGCTCAGTAGCTAAGAACACTGACTGCTCTTGCAGAGGACCTGGGTTCGATTCCCAGCACCCACATGGAGGCTGCGAACCGTCCTTAACTCCAGTTCCAGGGGAATCTGAAGGCCTCTTCTGACCTCTGCAGCATTGCATGACACGGGTGTGCTCACATACATTCAGGCAATACACTCATACACATAAAATAAAAAGAATAAAATATTTTAAAAGAATGACGAGGAATGAATAATCATTAGAAATCAGTAAATATTTATGAGATATTTTAAAAATGCAAGCTCTATCATTCCACATCTGGTAATTTGATGAAATTAGGACTAAACATGACACAGGTTAATTTCCTCAGTAAACCATCTCCTGTAATAATTGCTTCTTGACTTGGAAGGTCAGCAATGGCAATAACAGTGAAATGTGGAGCAGCTACACTGCCCTGGTTTCCTGACTAACAGGTTTAAGGTCTCAATGAGTCTGACAGACAGTACAATACTGTGCTCATCTAAGTTATCTTAGCAGGCTTATATTATGATTGTTTACCTGTCCTGTATTTCTTAGTGTTTCCACAGCTTGCTTATGGGTAGCTCCTTCTAGACTTATTCCATTGACAGCTAGCACACGATCCCCTGTAAATGAGGGAGTTGATTTGAAAGAAATAAACCATAAAGAGTCTACAGGGACTTTAACACCTAATGAGTTATTTCATATTAATTTGAGGAGAAGCTCAAATTTTGGAAAATCTGAATATTACTGATAATCCAAGAAATTATTGTAGGAAGTGAGTTCTATTAAGCTTAATGGATATAACAGTGAGCCCCTGTCTACTGTCCAATGTAATCTACTTCCCTCAGTGTCCCAAGTGCAAGGATTACAGGCATACACCACCTGCCTGACTGGAATAATATACATTATAGCAATCAGCTTAAATCATGAAGGAAGATAAACTGAACGATAAATGCAGAGACTGGAGGCAAGTCTCAAGTTAGTTCTCAGAAATGTAGGTTGTTACTGCACCTTCACTTTTATTACCAACAGGTACAGAACATTTACTGAAACAATTAGAACTATTAGATAGTGTCTGCTGCTAAGGACTAAGCAGTAAGGAGTTTTTGCTGTGTCATCAAGTTTTTGCTGTGTCGTGTTTTTTTTTTTTTTTTTTTTTTTTTTTTCTTTTTTCAGACAGGGTCTCGCTGTAGCTCCAGTTGGCCTGGAACTTGCTATGCAGAACAGGCTGGCCTTGAATGCAAAGATCTACCTACCTCTGCCTCACCACGCTCAACTTCAAGGAGTTTTTTAATGTTTTAAAACTGAATATGTTCTCTAATCTGTTCCAAAGGTCAAAAATGTCAAAAGTATTTGGGAACTTTTATCTAATCCCTAAAAGATTTTAGGGTTACCTCTTCAGAGGGGGGAATGTTAAGAGTAGCCAAAAGCCCCATAAAAAAATAAATAAAAGAAGAAAGATTACATGAAGTTATCAAAAAAAAACTGATGGGCAAAGTGATGGGGTGATATGTGAGGAGTTGGAGGAGAGGGAGTGGGCATGAATTTGATCAAAATACCTTATATGCACGTATGAAATTCTCAATAAATTAAAAACAAAACAAAAGAAAAAAAAAGCCTGAGTATGTTCTCATAGCACATTATGACTTTAAAATTCTTATCAACTTTGTAGCTTCTTATTTATTGTGATATTTATGTATATAATTTCTGCACACATATAAATATACCTTTGTGAATTCTACCATCTGACTCTGCTGCTCCCTTGGGAATAACAGCTTTCACATAAATGCCACCATGCCGGACACTGGTATTTACACCTCCCTAAACAGAAAAAGACACAATAACACTTTTTAATATGAAAATATTTGCATGATTTCAAATCTGAGCCCTAGAAAGGATCCAATTCACCATCTAAAACTGTGGTGCTACTTTAGCATACAAATATTTCAGTGCACAAGAATACTGGTAGCTTGGTTCTCCAAGTATCAAAGTAGTTTCCTTCTTTATAGCAAAATTCTTCACTGAACTCAGAAAGTAACAATATGCTGTATCCTGACTAGATGAGGAAGTTCTCTTCCTTTCTAAGTCTATGTCATGCACTATGAGCAAGCAGAAAGCAAACTCCATCTATGCAAGATTAGTGTGAGCACATAATTATCAAGAAACACTTAGTATCTGGAATTATTAGATTGTGCCTGTGAATCTGAGAGAAAAATCCCTTCCACAAGGAAAAAGAAACTTCTTTTTTAGTCTTAAAAGGCTTTAGTAGACAAGGCTGTGTGAGTACACACATGTGGAGGCTAGACATTGATGTCAGATGTTTTCTTCAGTTGTTTCTCCACACTATTTTTGGAAATAGGGTCTCTTTGCTGAACATGGACCTCACCATTTGGCCAGATAGGAAAGTCAGCAAGCAGCAGGGATCCTCTTGTCTCCCCCCAGCCCTGGGATCATAAGTTTGTGCCATCATGCCCAGTTATTTTATGTAGGTGCTGGGGACTGAACTCCTCATGTTTGTGCAGCAATCACTTGACTAATGGAGCTATTTCTCCAGCCCTGAGAAGTTTTTTTTTTGTTTGTTTTTTTTTAAATTCATTTTTAATACAATTGACACCTAAGTTGCACATGCGTTTCTAATCTCTATATATCTGATTATTACTAGTCACAGTCGGTTACTTTCTGAGCTCCTTGGCATCTGAGCATAGGTATAAAGTGATCA